TCTATGTCTACCCTGGACCCCACCTCCACCTCCTCACTGTGTTATGGGTCCCCTTATTCACCCTTTTATTTATTTTTTAAAAATTTATTTATGCATACAGAACTGGAGCACAGGCCAGAGGTGGAGTGGGGGCCCGGTGAGCGGATTCACCAGAGACACAGTGGGGAGCAGAGCAGACAGATCAACGAAGTACTCTGCTGAGGGGGGCAGCCGGGAGACAGGAGAGGCCTGCTGCGCCCTGTGGTCACCTGCGGGGTGGGTATCAAACTTATACTGGAGCGGCTGCAGCTTGCTTGCAGTGATGAGCTTTAACCCGCTGAGCCACCAGGGAGGGCCCTCTGTTCACCCTTTTAAAGCGTGTGATTGGATGGTTTTCAGTAGATTCAGAGTTGTATAACCACCACAACACACACATCCCTTAAGCCATTACTGCATCTTTTTTTTTAAAAGAGTTATTTATGCATACAGAACTGGGGTATAGGCCAGAGGTTCAGGGGCAGTGAGAGGATTCACCAGAGACAGAATGAGGAGCAGAACAGGCCGCTGTTGAGGGAGGCAGCACAGTGGGGGTGACAGGAGAGTTGTGCGGCGCCATGTGGGTCAGCTCCCACGCTGGGGTTGAACAGCTTGCAATGCTGCTCTTTAACCCACTGTGCCACCAGGGAGGACCCCATTACTGCATCTTCTCTTCTTCCTGCAGCCCTAGGTAAGCACTCATCTACTTTCTCTGTAATTTGCAGATTGGCACATATAAACAGATCATGCATTATCCCGTCCTCTGTGACTGGCTTCTTTGGCTTAGCCCATTGTTTTCTAGGTCTTAGGCTGGATTTATTACCTGGATCAGCCCTCATGCAATTATGGGAGCTGCCTGTGTCTGGTGCCAGGTGGGCTATGGGGACGTCGAGATGCACATGAAGTGGGAGTGCGAGGATGCCCTGGAAGCCTGAACACAAGCTGGACTCTGTGGCAATGAACTTGACATCATCTCTCAATGCCTACAACCTTCTGCTTCCACCTGGTGGGTGACCCGGGGACCAGTGGATACACTTTGCGGGCTGAGCCAAAAGCAACCTGGTGGGAACTGGGGGTGGGGGCGCTGTTGCGCTGGAAGTGAGCTGGAAGTGCTCAACTTTACAGAAGTCAGCATTGCTTACTTCCGCCTCCAAACTCCTAATGCAAATTTCTTCTGTTCTCAGTGTTAAGGCTCAACCATGCAGGGAGAGGAATTCTGGGAAATGCGGTTTAGACTTAGCTAAATGGATGCCACACTTGGTGCCCAGGGCCCTGGGTGTGGTTAAGTTCTTTGTAGACTGCTCTAGGATGCACACGGTACGCTACACGACCCTAACAACCAGTTCATTCTAGTTTGGGTTCTAGCCCCAGAGGCCTCTCCTCCCTGCCCTCTGGGCTACTGGGTACTGAGCACCAGAAAGGACCCCCATCTGCCTTCTCCATGGTGGATCTAGAGGGAACAGATGTCTGGGGGACGGGACAGAGTGGACAGGGCTTCCAAGACAAGCAGCATGTGAGCTTCTGGGTTTGGCTGAGGTGTTGGTCTGGCAGAGATGGAGTCCGGGGTGATGGGCATGGAGGGCCGCACAGACGGCAGGGGCAGAGGTGCAGAGCGAGTGAGCCAAGAAGTCAGCATGTGAGCAGGGTGACGGGAAGATAAAGCTAGTGGAGACAGTGGAGTGGGGCTAGGGGTGTAACCCCACCTCCAGTGGGGTTGGAGGTGACTGGGTCAAAACTTGTGAGCCACGGAATCACAAAACTTGTGAGCCCCCAAAGATGACCATCCTCTGGTTCCTGGAACCTGAGAAAGGCATTGTCCACACGGGCCAAGTCAATCCCATGAGCCCTTAAAGGCAGACAACTGCCTCCCTACTGGAAGAGGAGGAGCTGAAGAGAGTTGGGACATGAGGGCCCCCGGTGTGAGGGCTGACACATGCCAGCACCCGAGGGATGCCCCTGGCAGCTGACAGCCAGCGGGAAAGAGGGCCTCAGGCCTCCCTGTTGGCCCAGGGTTGTCTCAGCACTATTGAGCTATCACCAACCACTGTGGCCTGAGTCTGATCCCTGGCCAGGGAGCTGCTGACCCACAGGGTGCATCCTGCTTCCCCACTGCTCCCCTCAGCCGTGTGTTTTAGTGGATCCGACTGCTCTGCTCCCGACTCTGTCTCTGGTGAGTCCTCTCACCCTGCCCCTACATTTCTGGCCTGCACCCCAGTTATTGTATGCATAAATCTTGAAAAAAAATTTTTTTTTACTTTTTTTCTTTTAAAGATTTATTTACACATACAGAACTGGGGTACAGGCCAGAAGCACGGAGGGTGAGGGAATTCACTGAAGGCAGAGTGGGGAGCAGAATAGGCAGATCGATGAAGTACACTGAGAGGAGCAGCGGGCAAGATAGGAGCGGTCTGCTGCGCCCTGTGGGTCACTCCCTGGCTGGGGATTGAACTGGTGCTGAGGTAACTGTGATCAGCTTCATAGTGGTACGCTTTAGCCTGATGCGCTGTTCTTTTCAAAAAAGAAAGAGCTCAGCCCCACAAGCCAAAGGCTTCACCATGCAACAACCACAGTGATCTTGGGAGCACATTCTTCCTGGGGCGTCCTGATTGGGGCCCAGCTTGGCAGATACCTGGGTTTGGCTTGAGACCCCAGCAGAGGCCCAGCCCAGCCAGTGCTGCCTGTCTGACTGCCGCAGTCGCAGGACACTGAGGCAGGGGCCTCTGGGACAGGTGGGACTGGAGAGAAGAGAAGCCGGGGCTGGCTGTGACAGGGATGGGGCTGGAGTTGATCCGAAGACTATGGAGCAAGGAAAAAACGGGCCTGGAGCCCTTGGCCAGAGCTTGGCGGCCATCAGTGTCTCCTTGTCAAGTTCGGGGCCTTGCTTGGGGCACTGGCTGTGCCTGGCATGGGGACAGATTCCAAAGCAGTGCTTCCAGTTGTAAGAAAAGACTTTATTTCTGTACGGTGCTCGGGGTGGGGAGCTGGTGGAGGGCTGTATGCAGCCATCTGTGGCCCGGCCTACAGCTGCTGGGAGGGCCTGAGGATGTACAGGAAGTGAGTCTTGCGAGGGGCTGGCAGCTTGCTGCGGAAGGAGCCCGGGGTCCCGTCATCCTGAGCGTCCTCTCGGCTCCCCTCGAGGAGCCCATCCCGGATGGCCTGCAGGCGGGTTCGCTTCTCGCTGAGCCCTCGGCCGCCCTCCGGGGTGTCCTGGTGCCAATGGCGTCGCGGGAGCTTCATGATCCAGAAGGCCACTCGAGGGTGGGGCTCCGGGCGGAAGCTGCTCAAGGCCTTCTGCACAGGCTCCAGGACATCCTTCTCCTCTACCCTCGGTACCTGGGGGGAGGAACAAGAGGAGTCCCTCTCAGACGCCAGAGGGCACATGAGCCCACAGGGCCGCCTTCCAGGCCTGCGCCTTGGGAGATGAAAGTGTGGTTGGCTGAGGGGGCTCTGGGAGTCGAAATGCTGGAGGACATCTTTGGGATTGAAAACACTAAGAACCCTAGAGTTGTCATGCCTCCCGGGGTACAGCACGTTGAGGGTTAGCGTTCTCTGCGGTGTAGAGCGTGCTGTGAGTGCGCGGAGCACTTCAGGGTGAAGAAAGCAGCATGGCCGCCCCTGCCCCGTGCGATCCTTGACTGGTCCTGGATCCCAGGTCGCGCCAGCTCCTTGGAGGGCGGCGGGGTCCTGCGAGGGCACTGGGTTAGGGGCTGAAGGTCTTAACGGGTCCTTGCCCTGCTGGAGGGTGAGGGAGCCGCAGCAACCGCGGCACCTGGGAGCTTGTCACTCATGCAAATCAGTGGGTGGCCGCCCCGTGCAGGCCCACCCAAGTGTGGCATTTTACTAAGCTGAGGTCTGAGGTGTCCTGTGGGAGATGGTTATGACTTGAATTGGGGCACCCCCCCACCAATTCATATGTGGACGTCCTAACCCCCAATACCACATTCAGATGTGACCGCATTTGGAAGTGGGGCCCTTGATGATCTCAGCCGAGACAAGGCCTTTCGTTGGGCCCCTGAGCCAGTCTGACTGGCGCCTCATGCGGAGGGGCAATTCGGACATCGCGCTGTCTAGGGAGAAGGTGCCGAGATCCAGGAGGCGCAGCGGCCCTACAGGCCAAGGAGCATCGGCCAAGCACCGACTGGGGGGGACCAGCGTGGAAGGGAGCCTGCAGAACCTTCCTGGGGTTCAAGCCACCCCATCGGTGGGACTGTGTTGTGCAGTTAACAGTTTGGGGTCCGCGTTCAGTTCCTGGGGTGTAATAGTGGAACTCAGTTGTCTCACGTGGCTCTGTTATTCCTGGGAGCTATGCTGGAGGACTTTGGGGTCAAGTGTCATGACGTCGGCAGTGTCAGATGGTTCCAGAATGCAAAAGTAAAAATAAAGCAAATGTAAGCAAATGTCCCTCAGTGGGGAATCTAGGCCAGTCGGTGGTGGAACACCTGGAGATATTTTTGGTGGTCACAGCTGGTGGGGGAGGTGTTGCTTCAGTCTGGTGGGTGATCACAAAAGGTGGGCTCGGCCTAAATGCCCAGGTGAAGGGGGGAGATACCCAGGCCTGTGCGAAGGAGATACGGGTGGGCTTATGACACTGATTTTTCTAGAATGTCTGAAGATTTGATCATAAAAAAACGAACAAGCAAACACAAACTGGTGTGGGTGTGGGGAGCAATGGGTGAGCCAAGTATTTGGGGCTCTTAAAACTTTTTTTTTAGGATAAAATACTAGCACTGTGGGGAGAACCCTCGCAGGTGTTTACAGGGGGTGGGGCCCATGGGACACCTGGCAAGTTAGCATCATATTTCCAGGTCACAAGGGAGAGGTTTATTACGCACTCTGGGACAGATGGAAAAAACACTCCCAGGTCTCCTCATATTTTGGAGACTGTTCCGCCATAACAGAAGCCATTTTCAGTAGTGTGGAGGGAGCTGGGGGGAGTGACAAAGACATACTGGACATTGACAGACAACCTGACAGCAAAATACTTATGAAAATAAATGGGCATAAATAAATGGGGTGAGGGCTGTGAGGTGTGAGGGAGGCGCAAGGAGCGAGCAACAGGGGTGATTGGGGATGGCAGTGAGGGGGGAATAAATATTTATAAATAAATAAATATATATATTGCACATACAATAACTGAGGTATATGCCAGAGGGGTAGGGGTGAGGATCCACTACACACAGTGGGAAGCAGAAGAGGCAGATCCACTGAAGTACACTGCTGAGGGGAACAGTGAGGAGACAGGAGAGTCAGCCATGCCATGTAGGTCAGCTCCCTCGCCAGGCTGGAGTGGTGATAGTGTGAGACTGAGCCCCTAGGCCACCATATTAAATATTAATGAATAACAAAATTCTGAGGTTTGCACAGTTCTATTAGATAAAAACATGTAGAGGTTTCCAAGGGCAGGGCTCAGAATTAAAAGCATGTCTCATTTTACAGATGACTTCCGTGCTCACAAAACCGTCCAGGCTTTACTAAGCCAACTGGGTTACACTCTGAGGTGGTAAACGTTTCTAAGGTCAGTGAGCCCCAGATGACAAAACTGAGGCCCAGAGAACAGAAGTCGGGTGCAGAGGAAGCCCCACTTAGAGCGCTCCTCCTAAACTAAAGAAAATGTTTGGGTTTGGACACTTCGTGGGGGAGGGGCCAATGTTCTAACCTTCCAGTCACCCTCCAAATTGCCCTCTCCTGGCTCGATGGATGCCACCACTTTCTCCGAGATCAGTACCTCTCCTGTCTTGTTGTCGGTCACCTGTGAGGGGAGGAGAGAGAACACAACCGCTGTCTCCCTCTGCCAGTTCCAGGCGCAACAGCAAGGGAATTAGGCAGAGACTCGAGGAGGAACTTCCTGGCGCAGGCACCTTATCAAGCTGGAGGTGGCTGGCGAGCGTCTTGTTTCCCAGCCTTCGCTCCCGGTTCTCTTCTTGGTGGTAGTTCTTGGGGAGGCCCCGGAAGTCCACGGGGGAAGAGAAGAAGCTGTCCATGCCACGCAGCAGGTCATCCTGGAGCCAGAGGGGCTGGTGAGCGGCTGGCACTCGGTACATCACCCGCCTGCCAGGATGCCCGAGAGGCTTGCCCAAGCTCTCCATCCCCTTCCCTCTCAGGTTTTGGCCTGCCCCCACCCCCCACCTGTCCTGTCTGTTCTCCACCTCACTACCTTTCTGTCCCTGTTGCTCATCTGACCTGTTGTCTCCCTGTCCCCATCCCCTCTTGTCTCTCTCTGTCCAGTCTCTGGCTGTCTCCCTTCCTCTCCTATTTCTGTCTCCTACGGCTCTGTCTCTCTGTTCCTTTCAGACCCTTTTCCTGTCTGTCCTTTGCCCGCTGGGGTCCATCTCCCACTCAGCCTCCCTGATGCCCTTCCTTCCCTGTCCCCATCTGCCCGGGGTCCCTCTCCTCTTATTGTCCCTGGCCCCTCCCAGCGCTCACTTTTAGGAAGAGCCGAGAGAAGTCTTGGAGTAGGCTCTGGAGGCCTAGAAAAGCCGAGGAGCTGTCCTGGACGTCAGCATCGCGGATTGGGGCGGCAGTGGATGGAGACACCGGGGCACTCAACAGCAGAAGCCGAAGGACCAGCAGGTGCCACATTGCGGGGCGGGCGGGGAGGCTGTGGCCAGCGTAGGGGTCAGGGCCCCGCCCCCATCAGGCCCCTTAATGGCCACGCCCCGCCCAAACCCTGGACAACTGCCCTTTCCTACCCATTGCCCAGGCCTGTCCATTCCTGCTCGCCCCTCTCGTCACTCACACCCGCTCCCATCGCGTCAGGCTGAGCCCGTCCGGGCCGGCTCTTCAGAGCTCCGCCTCATCCAGGAACACGATCTCATCCTTACCTTCGCCCCATTCAAACCCAGATCTCGTTCCTCACCTTCTCCCACGCCCCGCCCCTTCTTCTGGGCCCCGCCTTGATGCTAGACCACAGTCGGGCCACCAGACTCTCGGGCTCCGACGGTCCACGGACTGTTAAGTCCAAACAGTTCTGGTCTCGAGCCCAGGTTGGGTACCTGGAACGCTGGGGGAATCCGCGCGCCCTAGCCTCGCTCCCATTATCTGGCCACGCCCATCTGCTGACACCACCCACAAGCCGGGCCTTCCATTGGATGGCCCACACCTCCACCCTCCTCAGCCACGCCCCCTGTGGACCACGCGCAGTGCGACTGACCACGCCCCTTGCCTAATAGCCACACCCCCGCGCCTGGGCCACGCCTCTGAACCCCAGAGCCCAGCGCCCTCAAGATTCATTCCCAGTGTCCCTCTGTCACTTCTTTCTTTTGTATCGCTCAGTCTCCCTGAGTCCCTTTTGGCTTTCTCCGGGATTTGAGGTGAAAAACGCACGCAACAGAAGGCGATCTAGGGGCGCGGAAAGGGAGCCCCTTTGGTCCCATTAAACTTCCCCGCCTTTTTCAGAAACCCTAAATCTAACCCAGTTCTGTGTTCCACTTTCCCAGCAGTACAAGCCAGGATTCCAGAGTCCGGACCCCAGCCGACTCTTGCCCCCTGAATTTGACCACCCACCCCCGCCTCCCTAAGAGACCCACTGGACAATTGCCCTTTCCTACCCATTGCCCAGGCCTGTCCATTCCTGCTCGCCCCCCCTCTCTACAGAAACTTCGCCCAGATTTGGGACAGCCGGACAGCCGTAAGTTCTGATCCACCTTACGTGTGGATTGGAAGTCTCCACCTCCGTGGGCCTCCACGGATCTTAACTCTGGTGAGATCTCAAGGAAACCCTAATTGCCGCAGTCAGTCAGAACTTATGTCCAATGCTCAAAAATAAACTCGGGCTGAACAGAAAAGCTTCCTTGTGCTCTTATCACTTCCAGGTCCAACAAATAAGCAGAGGGAGCCCAGATCCCCGGTCTCTCCTCCCTCAGCCCCAGGACAGACTCCAGCACCCTCCTCCCTTGGAGAAGTCCAGGCTCCCAGCCCCTCACCCTAGGCCCCGGAGGCCAGGCCCCCCTTCCGCCCCCCTCCCAGCTCCTCCAATCCCAGGTTTCCTGGCCCCCAGCCCCCCTCCTCCCTCAGACCCAGCAGTCCGGGCCACCAAACTTCCTCCTCTTTCCGGGATCCACGCATCCGAATCCCGAAGTTTCTATCAGGCCCCAATTCGACCTCACTGCTCCTTTCGCAGAGCGAAAATCCTCCCCCAAACTGTCACCATCGGATCCCCCTTCCCTCTGTCCGGCGCCCGGGCCCGCCCCCCCTCCGGTCCCTCCCACTTTTCCCAAACAAAGCTCCCCGCAACTTTCTCCCTCGCAGCGCCCCGCCCGCCCGCGGCTCCCCAGCCCCTGGCCGGGAGGTAGGAAGGCGCCGGCGGGAGTCGGGGATCCTGCTTTGGGGTGTGTGAGTTGGGGTGGGAAGTTACGCGTTAGGAGTTGAGGTGTTTGTGGGACTGTCTCGGGATCGCGCGCCGCTCTGTCTGCCCTGGGGCGCGAGTTTGCGCTCCCGAGCTAGGCTGAGCGTGCGGCTGCAAGTTTGGCCGGAGCGAGGGTCTCTCGGTGGGGTCTGAGTTGGGGAATGTGCGCCTGGGAGGGGGTGAGGGCTCGGGGTATTCGTGGGAGAGAGGGTGCGCGAATCTGTGCGGCGGCTGGCAGTGGAAATGAGCAAGGACCCCGGGTTTCGGACAGAATTGGTTTGCGTGTGTCATTCTGTGGGCGCCTGCCTGCTCCTCCTTGAGAAAGGGGGCCCCGGGGGGGTGGGGGCAGAGGGAGAGCACAGTACTTTCTGGACCTTCAGCCTTGTCCCTTCGAAGGCTTGGGGCCTAGAGCGGGAAGTTAGGGGGCCCCTCTTTCACCCGGCTCCGCCGTCCCTTTGTCTGGCCACATGGGAGAAGGCTGGGCTGGGATTTTGGCCTACGGGGGTCCCGAGGCTGCGCCCAGGGGCTCAGCCGAGGTCTTTGTCTGGGCCGGGACTCCAGGGTCCGAGGGAGGAGGGGGATGGGGCCCTGGACGCCGAGGTCCTGGGAAAACTGGAAGACACGAAGCCGCGAGGGAGGCGGGAGCTGACTGTATTGGAAAAAGTTTCCCTGCTCCCGGCCTCCCGAAAGTCACTGGGACTCGCGCTGGAGCGGAGCCGACCGCGCAGGGGGAGCGGCGGGCGGGGCGAGGGAGGCGCGCGCCCTGCAGCCCCTCCCCTGTCGGGCTTGTGGGAGGCTGGGGGAGGGGACGCCTGGGCCTTTGTTCTGGCTCTCCCGATGGCCGGGCGCTGCTGCCCCCCAGCCGGTGGGTCCGTGGGTCTTTCTTGGTGTGGGCTGAGCGCTGCCCTTCTCGGGGTCTCTGCCCCTCTCCTTGGGTCTGTGTCCACTTCTCTCTTGACTCTTCATGTCTCTGGGTCTCTGACCCTCTCTCTGACTAGATTTCTGCCCTGCACTGCACAAGGGTCTCTGTTCCCCTCCTGCAGGGTCTCTGTCCCCCGTCTCTGGGTGTCCCCTCAGCCTTGCTAGTCCGATGCCACTCCTCCTTTCCTAGCAGCTGCTGCTCAGATCATAGCACCTGTTCTTGGGGTGGGACTGAGATCACCCCAGCCCCCTTGCCAGCAGTCAGGCCCTGACTTCTGTCTTTTTTTTTTTTGAAAACCTGTAGTTATATTCAAAGGTTCAGCCCTTGTGGGGCCTCGGCATTAATCTGGGATCTTCAAGACTTCACTGCAACCCACACTCCCTTGGAAACTAAGAACAGCACACCCTGAGCTTTCTCAGAAACCAGAACCTGGGAGTCCAGGCCCCCAGCCTCCTCCCTCAGACCCAGGAGTCCAGCCCCACCCTCCTCCCTCAGACCCAGGATTCCAGCCCCACCCTCCTCCCTCAGACCCAGGAGTCCAGCCCCACCCTCCTCCCTCAGACCCAGGAGTCCAGGCCCCCAAACCCCTATACCTTAGACCCAGCATACTGGACCCCCCCCTTTAGACCCAGGAGTCCAGGCCCCTGACTCCCTACCTCAGACAGCATACTGGACCCCCTCCTTTAGACCCAGGAGTCCAGGCCCCCAGGCCCCCCACCTCAGACAGCATACTGGACCCCCCCTCCCTTAGACCCAGGAGTC